TAGGTTAGGTTGAAGCTGGAGGTACGAGAAGCCCTTTGTTGTTGTTGACGACTTGTGGGTAATAATTAGAGACAGATGGGCAAGGTTTTTAAAGGGAGTATTTACTGGTGCCTGCCTCGTTAACTGTTATTACCACTCTTCCTCCTCTTCATTTCTTCCTTCATCTTCATCCTTCTTCCTCATATCCCTCCCCCCCTCCTTCCCTTATCCTCCTCCTCTTCCTTCATCTTCATCTTTCTTCCTCATATCTCCCCCCTCCTTCCCTTATCCTCCTCCTCTTCCTTCATCTTCATCTTTCTTCCTCATATCTCCCCCCTCCTTCCCTTATCCTCCTCCTCTTCCTTCATCTTCATCTTTCTTCCTCATATCTCCCCCCTCCTTCCCTTATCCTCCTCCTCTTCCTTCTCTTAATCTTTCTTCCTCCTCTCCCCCCTCCTTCCCTTATCCTCCTCTCCTTCCTTCATCTTCATCCTTCTTCTCCTCCCCCTCCTTCATATCTCCTCCTCTTCCTTCATCTTCGTCCTTCTTCCCCTCCATATCCCCCCCCCTCCTTCCTGTCTCCTCTCTCTTACTGTCTTCATCCTTCTTCCTCATATCCCCCCCCTCCTTCCCTTATCCTCCTCCTCTTCCTCCTTCACCCGCTCGGTAGCCAGGTTATGTTAACACCTGGCCCCTTTGATTCTACTCAATAACTGGCTTAATCAGGAGCCGTTTCCCTCGGGTATTCGTCATCAGGTTTGTGTCAGGACGCCTCCCTCATGCTAGGACGACTATCTCACGTTAGGATGCCTCCCACACGTTAGGACGCCTCCCAGGACGCCTTACCATTGGTTTTCCACGATGGGGCACCTCCCACGTTGGACCTCCACACGTTAGGACGCCTCCCACACGTTAGGACGCCTCTCTCACGTTAGGACGCCTCCCACACGTTAGGACGCCTCCCACACGTTAGGACGCCTCCCACACGTTCGGACGCCTCCCACACTTTAGGACGCCTCCCACACGTTAGGACGCCTCCCACACGCTAAGACGCCCCCGTTAAGCTTGTGTTTATTCGTCAGGTTGTGTGTAAAAGGAAGACCTACTCTACCCTTGAAATAATCGTCTCTTTTACGCCTCTTTTCTCTTCTGTCAGGTAGTCACTTACACGACGCTTTACACTGTATAGCCAACATCACTAACTTCACCTGTTCACATACACACCATAGCTCATTCGTATCAACTTTAAGTACCGTAGTAATTAGATCAATACATTGTGCACCAATGAATAAGACAGACAGACAGACAGACATGAAGGAAAATTTATCATATTATTCTATAAACATAAATAAGTTCAGAAATTTTTAATTTTGTCTGGATAAATGTTGAGCTTTTAAAATTATCCAAATTAAAATGTTTGTTGGTTAAAACTGTAGCCATTTTGGGATGAATAAACGAAGAGAAGAAGAAGAGGAAGAAGAGATGGAGAAGAAGAAGAAAATAAAATAAAAACAACAGAACAAAAATAAGAGAACAAAAAGAAAATGTAGAAGTTAAACAAAAAGAAAAGAAGAAGAAAATCCGGTGAGAGGAACGCCAGAGAGAGTGTGTGTCAATCATTGAGGCCCCAGTAGCCATCTTATGTGAAACACTCATCCAATTATAGTCCCCTGACCCCGGGCTTCTCTGTAGACAGCATCAGGTAGGTCTTCTCTCAGATACCTTCCTGACACTGTATGGTTGACGGTCTCACCCACCCTTTGATCCCACAGTGATTCCCACACCACCATACCTACACTACCACTACCCACCCACACTACCACTACCCACCCACACCCATACTACTACTACTACTACTACTACGTCCAGTTGTCCGCTGCCAGCCAGCCACTTTTACTATCCCGTACCTACACCCCCATACAGACAGACAGACAGACAGACAGACACATAAACAGACAGACAGACAGAGAGGATATTTATTGTTCCAGAGAGTATCAAACCAATGCAAAATGAAGGGTGCTGAATCGTGTTGTTTGGAGTGAAGGAAGGATGTTAAATGTCCTTCCTTCCTTCCTTCCCTCACCTCCTTCACTCGTACCCAAAGGAAGATGGTCCAGAATCCATTTAAATAGTCTTATGTTAACTCTCTCTCGTCCTCATTGACTGAAGTTGTTTGTTTTTACTTTATTATTGTTTGTGTTTTTCCACTCGACCCATAATGCATTGATAAGTGAGTGTCAATTGGTCTCTAAATGACTTGTACCCTTACCGTCTATACCTCACACCCATCCCTCCTAGCTCTCTCTTCATTTCCCCCTCCTCCTTCGCCCTCCTGCCTCCCCCCCACCCACCTTGTTGTTCACTTACACAAGTACAGGAAGATTATATCATACGCATACTGGACATCAGGAACACTGTGTACACCTAATACAGAGTTATAAATCTTCCGTCGTTAAAAAGAGATTTTACCCAAATTGAAGACCAAAGCAAATTTTCCATTCCCTGAACCCTTTCACAATCCCGTCGTTTGGCGAGGCTTAGCTGGGAGTAACGACAGTCACTTGTCACCCAGGCGCCAATAAGTGACAGTGTGATGGAGGAGTAAAAACTGTTTTGCGCGGTGATGTAGTTCGACCCAATATTGTTTACGTGGACCAGGCGGATGTTTTGCTTCACTTTTACACCTGATAAAATGCGAGGGTTACAGGAGGCGTCGAAAAACTTTTATGATGCGCGACAAACCCACACACCTGCACATTCTTCCTCCCGCCTGCCCCCTTCTCTACCACTTCCACTCATTCCCACCCCTTTCACCTCCTCCCTCACCCCACCCCACCCCACCCCACCCTTTCCCAGGTGTTTTAGTAAGGTCCTGCTACCCTGGGGCGTATCCCACGACCTCCAGTGAGCGACCCTTCCCCCTGTAGTCCCCCGCAGATCTATATTAGCGAGGTAAAACTCCCTTGACTGAACTGTGTCGTATGAGAGGTTGAGCTGGGGGCGAGAAATGAGTTAATGAAGATGTTGTACTGGTCATTATTATTATTATCATCATCATCATCATCATCATTATTATTATCATTATTATTATTATTATTATTATTATTATTATTATTATTATTATTATTATTATTATTATTATATCCTACAGTTTCATATCACTCAGGTGTCAAAAAGAACTTACTGCACTGGACCTCTAGGGTAGTTATATCTCCAAGTGTAATAAGCTTAACTGAGGTATCTAAGCTTCAGGTGATCATAACCAATCAATTAATACACCGTCAAATAACAGGTATTGCCGTCATCAGGTGTGGCAGGAAAGGCAGAGTTTGGCCGTAACACCTGAATCATTGTGTACAGTTTTGTCACCTTTTAGTGGGAGGGGGTCGACCTTCTCTCCCCACCCAGCAGTGTATTAGTACTGTACCTTAACCCTGCTGCCCCTCCCTCCTCACCTACCCCTCTTCTCCTCCTCACCTACCCCCCTCCCTCCTCACCTACCCCCTCCTCCTCACCTGTCCCCTCCCTCTCCCCCTACCCCCTCCTCCTCACCTACCCCCCCTCCTCCTTACCTACCCCCTCCTTCCTCACCCTATCCCCCTCCCTCCTTACCTACCCTCCTCACCCCTATCCCCTCCTCACCCACCTACCTCCCTCCCCTCCTTACCTACCCCCTCCCCTCTCACCTACCCCCTCCTCCTCCTCCCTACCCCCCCTCCTCCTCCCCTACCCCCCTCCTCATTACCTCTCCCCATCCCCCCCCACCAGCCCTAGTCAACAGGTTCACCCATTATAGCCTTGTACCTATTAGTCCCGGGGCTACAATTACGCAAAGGGGTGGCAGTTTGTTTCCATTGTGTCAAGGTATAGTTTCCAAAAGTCAGTGGCCGCCAGGGGGAGGTTGTGTGCTGTTCTGCCCTTGAACACTACTACTGCTACGTCTACAGTTATCTTCTTCTTCTTCTTCTTCTTATTCTTCTTCCGTGTTTACTCTATGTCCCCCGACCTTAGGTTAGGTTAGATTGGAATTTTTATCTCAAAGTTTTTAAGAGATTCTAATGGATTTTAGTGATTATAACTGACCTCCCCTTCTCTCTCTCTCTCTCTCTCTCTCTCTCTCTCTCTCTCTCTCTTGACCGCCCTCCTCCTCCCTCTCTCTCTCTCTCTCTCTCTCTCTCTCTCTCTCTCTCTCTCTTTCTTGACCGCCCTCACTCCACCGTTCTCTCCTTCCCTCCTTCCACCCCCCCCCAGATCACCAGGCTTCAGATGGTGCGCACTGAGCCGGAGAGGTTTCTTTTGAGTGTTTATTCTCGTGGTTGACAGAGCGTTATGAACCTGGAAGCCTTACAACACCTCCTTACACACACACAATTTCCCACTTGGTCGTTTGGAAAAATAAAATGAGGTGGAGAGAAGTGGAGGAGGTAGGGGGGGTAGGGGGTGTGGGAGGTAGGGGGGGTAGGGGGTGTGGGGGAGGTGGGGGTTAAATGGACATATTCTTTATGTTTTGGGCCAAATTAATGCTATGTTTAGGCTTCCTTTATTTATTTGTTTGTTTTATTCTTTGTTTTTATTTATTTTTTAATTTATTGATTTTATTTATTTATTTATTTATTTATTTATTTGTTTTTCTTTGTTTTTTATTTACTTGTTTGTCTGTTTCTTTTATTTATTTATTTATATATTTACTTGTTTATTTCTTTCTTTTGTATATAATTGTTTATTAATTTATTAATTTTTATGTATTTACTTGTTTTTATTTATTTCCTTATTTACTTATTTGTTTATTTATTTGTTTCTACGTTACATCTCAATTATCATCTATAAACTGCATCCATCCACAGTTACAGTACCTTCAATGATGAGTCAACTTACCTACCCACACCTTACATACATACATACATACATACATATATACATACATACATACATACATACATACATATCCACCTCTGTATTATCTAGATATATAATACTCACTATAATCCTATACTAATTCTCGCGGTGGTGTTTGTTGACAGGTCACGTTCCGGGATGTTCAAGTGGATGATATCAGGCCATAAAGGTCACAAACACAAACAAGAAAAGCTCAACAACTCCTCCGTCACTAACAAGAACAGGAACAATCTCAAGCAACAGGTCACGGAGGAACAGCTGACGCAACAGAACAACGCTGCCCTGCACATCACAGAGGCCACGGACGGTACCTATAACACAACTACTGTCAATAACCACGTGAATAACAACCAACAACAAGCAGAACAGCTCTCACAACAGCAACAGCAGAACGGAGATATCAACCAAAACTTAGAGAAATGTGATAATATCATCCCCACAAACGGGTGAGTTAACGCCAGTCGCCCTTCACTTGTTTTATTTTTTATCTTTCTCTTGGTGGTCGTCAAAAAACAACATACTATCACTGATCGGATTACATGATGATTAGAACCCCCGTAGCTTATTTCAACCTCCAAAATAGCATCAGGTTTGTATAATCATCAAGTGAAATAAGCTGGGTAGTGTTAAAGCTTCGTGTATTCCCGATAATCAAGCTTTAAGCAGTAAATGATATCGGATTTTTGTTTTCACTATTAACTCTTATGACTACCCGATCACATTACAAGCGGGTGACGCAGTAAGAAGCTGTCAGGGTCGACTTGTTGGTGAGAAGTGATGAAAGTTGCGTTTCTTTTGACATTAGATACCCCACTGTCATAGGGTTAGGTTAGGATACGTAATCATGAGCAGATATAAACAGGGTTTCCTAATCTTAATGAGGTCCCAGAATCCTAGTAATAAAAACTCCCATTCAGCAGCCTAACCTAACTTAACCAAACAAGACAATTTCCGCCAGCCAGCAAAGTGTCTCGGGTCATGACACAACAGTGACTCACAATGACAACCAAACATCAAAACATGACTTGTCACGATTGGGCAAATAGTGAGAAATTAGATAATTGAGCGATTATACTGTGAAATTAATAATATAAAATTTAACTAAACGATGCGTGGACGTTCCTCAGATGGAAATATATGTTTAATGGTAAAATCGTGACGATTGTGTAATGTAACCGACCAGTCCCACACTCACTTATTCTTTTGTTCCTCCTGTTCAGTTAGCAGTGCCGGATTTAGACCTGTGGAGGCCCATGGGCAGCCAAGAGGGTGGGGTGGCGAGTGAAGCGAGCCTAAACATTTGGGAGTTCCGGGGGGCGCTGTAAGCCCCCCGGAAAAATTTTGAAATTTGATCACTTTGGAGAATTTTGAAGCCATATGCAGTTATATTGAGGAAATTAGAACATTGAGAAATTTTTAATTAACTGTATATTTATTGATAGTGTACAAATTCCCAACACACACACACACACACAAGTGAGACATGACCGGAGTCATTCATGTGGTTTCAAGTCGACCAGCCCTGATATAGCTACTACCACACATGTGGAGGCCCCCAGATTGTGGAGGCCCCTGGGCAGCTGCCCACTCCTGAATCCGGCCCTGCATGTTAGGCGAACTGTTTATACTGTTTGTGGCCATAATTACCACACACATTAATCCTATTATAGGTCCCTTTACACGAGCTTTATTATCATTCACCTTCTTCCTTCCTTCCTCATTTATAAAACTCCTTTTCCCTCTTCCATCGTTTCCCTCCACCTACAGTGGATCCCAAGAAGTTTAGACTTCCCAGCTTAGGTCAGGTTAGGTTAGCTTGGCGGGTTGAAAAAACAAATTACGAAATTAAAACAAAATTGCTTACGAATTCAAATATAAACAATTAACAATAAAAAGAAAAGCGACAAACTTTTAGGTACAAGTAAAATGAAAGTTAAAAACGACAGAAAATAAAAATAAAAACAAAAAACAATGAGCACAGGACAATGACTTAAAGTAAAATGGTTGGTCACAGTTGTGCTCCCAGTAATGTTGGTGAGGAGGTCCGTGACGCCCTCCGCCCGCCCTTGATGCCATACGAGGATCCACCACTATTACTCCTTGTCTTTTCCTAATACTGTAATCTTCCTCCTTCGATCGCTCGCAATACAATGTGAAATAAACGAAACAAAAATCATAGTTCCCTCGTATGAGATTGTAGTCTGATGAGGTTGCCAAAGGTGAGTTATCAGGACACGATCACCTGTCAATATTTTACAAGAACACACTCGTACAGGAAATGTAAAAAAAAAAAAAAGACTTACTGGATCATTTGCGCCCCACGTGACGTCGTCTTGGTGTTGTGCTGGGTAATTGGCGCCATGATGAATACGTCAGCATCGTCCACCTGCCGCTGCCACGCTCGCCACCCACAATTTGGGAGGAACGAACACTGAAATAATCGCTAATTACGAAAATCACTGGTGATTTCAGCAACGTGCGTCTTGTATATGCTAATAATCCTCTTCGTCACCACTTGATAGTCACCGTAAGTTAGCAAGACTCGTTCAACTCAGTAAATGGTTCCAGAATAACCACGACGAAAATTGCTAAAGGACAATTTTCCCCGAGTTCGCTCAGTCAGGATTATGGCTGAGGGACCAAGTCTTAGGGAGGTGTGGATTTTTTTTTTAATTCGTCTACACTTTGTTGCACCGGAAGTACCTCAAGACACTCGGCACTTTCCTCGTTGTACACACCCGTGAAGAGACACTTTCCTTGTGATATACGCCAGGAATTGGGTTCAAGGGTGGGAACAGGGATGGGGTGGGTTAGACGTTGAGGCATTACTACTGTCATATATGGGCTGGGTGTGGTGTCGGGGTACTGTGGGCTGGGAGAGAGAGAGAGAGAGAGAGAGAGAGAGAGAGAGAGTGCTCGTATAAATTAAAACTGTGGGCTCTAGACCTCGCTAAATTTACTCTCCCTTTACGTAACACAACGACAGAACTTTGCCTCATTGCTTATTACAACCTTAAATCCTCCCAGTGTGTGTGTGTGTGTGTGTGTGTGTGTGTGTGTGTGTGTGTGTGTGTGTGTGTGTGTGTGTGTGTGTAGGGGCTAGAGGTAACGTATGGCAGAAGTGTAGAGGGTAATGAGAAGCAGAGAGAAGAGTATGGGACGTGATGAGCGAGGAGTCATGTTCTGATTCATCCTGACAATATAAAATTAATACTCGGTCTCTTGTTGATGATGATAGAGTGTGAGGTATTGTGAGAACGTCTTACTTGTGTTACCTGGCGTCTCGACTACCTGCCTCTCCTCGACCCCAGCGTCTATGTTCCTCCCCTAGCACCCCTTTTCCTCTCCCAGCACCCCTTTTCCTCTCCCAGCACCCCTCATCTCTCCTTTTCTCTCTCCCAGTACCCCTCTTCCTCCCCTAGCACCCCTCTTCCTCCCAGCACCCTCTTCCTCTCTTCCTCCCCACCCCCTCCTCCCTCACCCCTCATCTCTCCCAATACCCTCTTCCTCCCCTAGCACCCCTTTTCCTCTCCCAGCACTCTTCTCTCCTCCTCTCCCCTAGCACCCCTCTTCCTCCCCCAGCACCCCTCCTCCTCTCCCAGCACCCCTCTTCCTCTCCCTGTACCCCTCCTCACCTCCTGCACCCTTACCGCCTCACCCCACACATTACGCAGTCCACGGGAGCGGTCAAGGCGGCCACTAATACGTACATTCCAAATGCAACAGTGAAAGGCTGATGACCGCTGACCACAAGAGCTAAGACCCAGGAGCCACTTGGATGACTTCACCCTGGATGACGAGAGGATTAGCCACCTCAGCTTATTTTACCTAAACATTAACCGATTTAAAAATATGTAGCCTAACATAACATAACATTAGTCTAACCTAACATAGCATAACATAATCCAGCGTAACTCTAACCTAAAATAATCTAATCTAACCTAACTCTAGCATGTGCGGTGTTGGGTGAATCACGACTTCAGCTCATAAGACATAAAAAAAACTTTAAAGTATTTATCAACTTATTCATCAATACTAACTTTCTTAAAACACAAACACCTAAGTAATTAAGTTTACCATTATCAAAACAACGTCACGATCTAATTACTAGTTTAATTATTAGCGTTGTGAGCAAATTGACTTTGTCGGTGCTATTGATGTCTAAACAAGCGATAACAGGTGATTCTTGTTGGTTATGTATGTTGTTTGTGTGTAAGTCAATATGGCGTTGCGGAATGTACTGCTTTACATAGTACATATAAGCTTTTGACTCAACGAAATGATTAACAAGTTGTGCCCCGGAAGTTATGCACTTTGTGGCTTGGGGTGAATGTCTAAGCACCGTCTCTAACTGCTTTGAAGATGAAGAAATAAATTATTGACCATAAATATTCAGCCGATATTTGTGATTTCGATCTTTGTAAACATTAAAAATAACAACCGAAGCTTTCATCGGGGGGTTTTACTTCCATAAATATTGGCTTGATTGTCTTTTGTTTTCAATTTTGGGGGTTTCACTTTCCTGGCTTTCGTATTTATAGCTTCCCCAGATCCCCCTTTATTTTCTTCACCCATATTGTTCTTGAACCTATTCTATTACAGTTTAAAGGATGAGATTCTTTTAATTGGATTCGAATCCCATATTATGTGTTTAGAAGCATTTCCAATTTCTTTCGAGTAGCATTGGATTGTAAGTGAACTGTGTGTCCGTATACTTATTGTTCTCCATGGGGGGAGATTCAGAGACAAGCTCGTTAATTGTTTTTAAATCACATAATAATGACCTTCCTGTGTGGGTTGTTCTTTGTCTTATCGCAAGCTATCTGTTTCTCAAGAGAGTTGCTTTCATTGGTACCAGATACCAAAGTAACGTGCTTAATATGCTGGGAGGTCGGGGGGTGAATCCTCCCATGGTTAAGAAGTTAGGCAAGGATAGGTAGGCTGGGTTGGGTTGGTTAGGCCAGGTTCTGTTAGGTTTTGTGCATTGTCGTTTCCAGTTTCGTGTTAAGTACAGTTCATGAAAATGGCATCTCCAAAAATCTAGGTACAATTCCACAAAGTCCTTCTGGTGCTAACCGTCTACTCCACAATTACCAAAACTATTTGTATAATTATCGATGCAAAGTCTTATAGATTATTTAATAAAATATACCTGTATATCTAGTAGCACTGAAACGGTGTCTCCAAGTACCTTTTATAAGTTAGCCCAAGATATAGTGCATTTTCTTTGATGCGGCATCAAAGAAAATGACTACGTACATGAAATATGTTGGATAAACTTCTTTAATCTTAGAACAGATTATATTTACCTGAGAGTTTTTGTAAATAATCAAAGAGCACTATTAACAGGCATTTTAAATAAATATATTATATATAATCACAATAATCTGCAACAATTCTAATATAAATCTACGAAAACGTATTATATTGTTTGTTCCACAGCCTC